AACCCCAAAAAAAAAAAAAAAAAAAAAAAACAAAAAAACCAAGAGTCAGGTTACCCAGGAACACTACCTTGAGAAACACAGATCTTGAATTTGCTGTCTTCCAAAACTGGACTGCTCCCTCTGCTTCCTTAGTGTTGGAAACTGAAACTGAGTAAGATTATGAGGATTATGAGGACATCTAAAGGAGATGGCAATCTAGGGTCAGCTAAGATTCCTTCATCATTTCAGAGGCTGGGGACCTCTGAGGAAATAACTCTAATCTACCCAGAATGACCCCACATTCCTCCTACATGTGATTCCCCGCGACTGATGTCTTCTCCCTATGGTTCTCTGACCCCTTCATGCATGAAAACTGCTTAGCTCCCTTGAGATTCCCAACCAGACAATCCTATTACCTCAGGAGCATGAAGAACACCCAAGAGCCATAGAGAGAACAGGCATACCAGGGGCCAGACCAAGGAGTAAGGAAACTGACCGAAGCCTGCACTCTGTGCTTCCATTGCCTTACCAGGGACTCATGCACTCTGTGCCCCATGATGAGTTCCAAAGGTTCACTAGAAACCAGCAGGGCTTCCTGGTTGCTGCCATAGAAAAACTGATCTGGGGAGATGCTGTGAGTCATCATGGCTGAAGAGGGGTAGCTAATGGTGCTTTCTCTGTTTTGTGGGTGACACTAATGGATTTACTTGCAAAAGCAACTGCAGTTTATTCTTTTTCCTTGTCTTCTTTCTTTCACTTGTACCCACAAAAGCAATGCTCGTGACTGGTCCAGAAAACTTACTCAAAGGATAAAATCAAATACCAGCAAGAAACGGAAAGTCTCTCTGCTCTTTGACCATCTGGAACCAGAGGAGCTATCTGAGCATCTCACCTACCTGGAGTTCAAGTCCTTTCGGAGGATATCTGTACGTACCCAAGGGGCGAGAGAAAACCTATTGTGGGAAATTTCTGGAACTAAGCAGGGAATTTAACAGCCTGTCCATCCCAGAATACTTGAGGTCCCATCAGTGCTGGGATGCTTTCTCAGCACACACCATGGCAGGAATGCGGAATGTGAATTCCTTTGGTTGCCCCTGTTGGGCTTCCCTTTTCTCACCTCATCCATGGCCATCCCACCCCACCCTTAACTCAGTACAGTACTGGGGACACCCATGACACCCTGCATATGTGTGTGTGTGTATATACACATCCTCTATCCCTGATAATCATTAGCCAGAAAAACAAATGCTAATCTTGATTAAAAAAAAATCTGTAATTCCCCTGAGTGTTTGAATGCATTCTAGGGTAGGCTTTTAATGGCTCTGGACAATCCCACAATAAAATAGATGTTGTGGGTTACCTTAGAACATACCTCGAGCCCTAAGGCAGTGCTGAGCTGGCCCAGCAGTTACCATACTTCTAGTCAGCAACTGTGCTGACCTTGCTGTTGGGGCAACCAGGCAGAACTTGGACTGGAATGGAGAGGGATGAGAGGGATTTCAGCTTATCAAGAAGAGGAAGATCATATAAGCACATACTGTCCTTACCATAATCCTCCAAACTCCATATGTGACACCAGAGAACAGTGACATCAGCTGCCAACCCCATCTTTGCTGGCCAGTGTGCTGTCCTGACAGTGACACCCCCAGTCCTTGCAGACTTGCCCTACCCACCACAGCAGAGCCTTCAGCTTTGTTCTGAAACTACAGACAGCAAGCTCCTGGGTGCCTTCCTTGGAATGACTCATGTGCCCCTGGCAAAGGAATGGGAGCCCAGAGGCTGATGAGAGCAAAGTCGGCATAGCTTCTGAGAATCCAAGCTGGGGCCAAGACCACATGCCTCTCAGCACCAATCTATTGAGCCTAATTGTATCTGGAAGGCAACCTGCCAACTAGGTTACAGAGGTTATTCCATACTTTTCTCCCATAATGCTGTCATCCCTGCTGTGTTCACATGGCTGTTTGTCCAGCCACAAATCCCCAGTTTCCACTTGAAATTAATCTCTAGGCATTAGCACCCCCAGCCTTCACCAGCACCCCTCCAGCAGAAGCCCAGGAGTCCACTGAGGCTCCACTGGGAGTCTCCTTTTGGCAGAGGCTCACATCAGTTGTGGGGCAGGCAGGACACTGGTAAAAACTGCAAATCACCACAGGGGACACTTATCACACTGGAAATCTGAGCTCTCCTGGGGAGAGGCTGGCAGGGCCAAGGCCTACGGAACATGGGTCTGATGCCAGTGTTCAGATCAGTGGAGGCAGAATGGAAAAATCAGTGCTGAGCACAAGATCCAGGCCAATCTCCACAGGGGTTGAGCGGTATTCTACTTGAAAAAAAAAAGAGTTTGAACCTTCATTTCTTTGGAGTGGCACAGTCCCTTCATAGAAGACTAGTTCAGGGATTTTTCTGTTTTTCCCATATAGTTCTTAACATTTTTCCCAAACAATTTTCTTTCCAACATGAGATTGGAAGGACATTTAGCTCTACTGTGAATTGAACGGTGTTTGACATTTTGTTTCTTGCAACATCTCCTAAAGGGAGATGAGATTATGGGAATATTTCTTTTTTAAAAAATAGTGGCTTCCTGGGTATATCTGTAGTGGAAGAGTATATATAATGTTTATTGAAATGAGTCACAGTGACCTTCTTTTAGAGCCAGGAAGAATTTTGCTTTCCATGTCTCTTTTGAGGAGTGGTTTCGGTCCTACCCAGGTTTTTTCACCCATCAGCCATCACAGCACAGTAAAATGGGGCTCAGTTAACATACATTTATTTTATTCTGCTTAGGAGTTCTCACAGGCTGTTTACCACTGAGGCAAGACCAAGGTGTAGTGCAGTAACACCCCCTACACACCCATCCACAATCACAGTGATCAGAGCAAAAGAGTATCACTCATCCTGCACGGCTAATGTAGTTCAGAGTGGCTCTCCGATGCAGATGATGTGGATCTCGTCTTGTCAGAAATCCTCACCAGCTCTGCAGCAGTGGAGTGGCAGTGTCACAATCATCCATTTGTTGGCTCTCAAATCTTTCCCTTCAAAGCTGCACCGCTACCCCACACTTTGTGTGGGCTGTGTCACACAACTACATCTGCTTTGAAACGAGAGTTCAAACTGGGCATAGCATCAAAGCCTCCCACAGGAACATGGGCAGACAGCAGGCTCTTCCTCCCTCCTGGCTGTACTGTTTGTGCAGAGGGATTCTTGTGACAGGGACATAATCCATACAGTCATTACCTACCTACATCAGATCTGCCAGGGCATTTGTAGTTTCAAATACGCAGTTTTCATTGTTAACCACACCCAGTGCCACTATCAGACTGGTAAACCATGGTCACTGAATATGTAGCTATCCAAGCTTCATGTGCCCCTCTTATTTGGCCTCTGTTCAATTCATTAGGAGAAAAGAAATTTAAGAGGCTTGAGCATGAGGAAGTAATTATCCCATTAGCACCACCTCACAATTATGTAGCACTTTGAAAAGTGAAAGTGCTTCCACACATTGACTTGTGTGATCTTTATAACAATTCCATGTTCTAAATAGGGCAGATTTTATTATCACATTTAATATAACAGCTGGGGAGAAAATGATTTGTTTTTATGAGGGGAATTTTATTTTAACTTCAGCAGCACAGCTGGAACCAGTAATGAGCTTTTCCTTCAACACTCTGTTCTTTAGAATTAGTAGAACAGATCTGCTCAAATATTTGGATCAGTGTATGCCCGGTGGGTTCTGATGTACAGGGGCCATGGTGCGACTCCTCCATCACTATTCTTGTGGGCCCCATGGCAAAGATGGCAGAAGAGGGGCCACAAACTTGTCTGCCCCAGAGTGGTACCCAACCATCACTGAGCAGAACTCACTCACCGCCCCCCAATCTCCCACAATACCAAAGCACGGGCCTGATGCATGTTTTTCTTCCTCCAGTTCTCTGATTATCAAAATTACCTTGTAAATAGCTGTGTGAAGGAAAACCCCACCATGGAGCGATCCATTGCCTTGTGCAATGGCATCTCCCAGTGGGTGCAACTGATGGTTCTCAGCCGCCCCACGCCGCAGCTCAGGGCAGAAGTCTTCATCAAGTTCATCCACGTGGCTCAGGTAAGTGACTGGATTAAGACTTTCAGCCTGGGCTGGGAGGTAAATTAACTCTACTCCTTTTGTCCAGTCTCGTCTTCATTGGGAACTGTTCTTCCCTTGTGAGCCCTGGTGGGAAGCTGTCCCCAGATCTAGATAGGGTGATAGTTCTCTTTTCCCACCCACTCATTAGAGGTATAGTAGAAGTACAGATCTCTTAAGTCCAGCTCCATATAGGGGGTTCAGCAGTCTTTGTAGTGAACAAGTACTCTCGGTGCTTGTTAGAAACTATAATTTAGATGTTGGCTCATAGATGAGCTACAAGAGAGGGAGAAATGTAACACTTTGCTGATTTGGAATCTGTCAGTCTGGGGTACAGTGAAAGGGAGAAATGAATAGGAAATTGCTACACGCAACCACTGAGTGACCAGTGTAAGGAAGAGTCCTAGGACAGGCTGGAGCCCCTGTACTCCCTGTATAACTGACCTGTGCAGTCACACTGTCGTCTGTCTCCTGTCACAGAAGCTTCATCAACTGCAGAACTTTAATACGCTGATGGCCGTGATAGGAGGGCTGTGTCACAGCTCCATCTCTAGGCTCAAGGAGACAAGCTCACACGTCCCGCATGAAATCAATAAGGTCAGTGCCACCGTCTACTATGGCTTTACAAACACACCCAGGATAATCGCCAACCCTCTCAGCCTTTCCAACCTGTACCATCCCTGCTCAATAGGCAGAGGACAAGGGCACATACCCACGGGAACCCACAGGATAGGGAAGTGACAGGTTTGAGTGATTCCATCAGTCCTCAGTGTTTCTACATCTTTTCCTCTTGGGCCAGCTGAAGCCATGTGTACCTCTTTCCCATGTTCACAGGCTGCTGAGTATTGAGTCACCACCTTCACCCCAATTTCTTGCTCCAAAGTGTTTTGCATGCAGAGTATAGTTATATAGTGGTATGATAAAACCCTGGCCTTCCAGGCTTGGAGAATGATTTCCTGCATACTCAATATTCTCTGAGAGTTGGAGCTGAGCCCTTTGGTACTGTTTCGTAACAGATCATGTTTTATTAAGGACTATTTTCCTTAAGTGACCTGTGCACATTTCTCTATTATCTAGATGTTACAGAATATACTTTAATCTTTTATGATGTAGGGCTGTTGCTGTAAACCACCATGCTTTCCCGAGGATCTCAAGTCTACCATGGGTTAGCTATGACAACTCTTTGCACATTTTTATCTTGTGTAACAGGATCTTTCTGTCCTCAAACCCTGGACATCTCAAACTGGCACAGAAGGCAGCTTTTTTTCTGAGGGAGATCTGAGCTTTCCTGGCCTGCTTCTCCCAGCTGTGGGGAGTTCTTTCTTATCCCTGCTGTCACAATGTGGGGCCTCTGGGGAGCTCTCCTCAGTGGACAGGTCAGAAGGAGATCTTTAGTCACTTTCTCCTTTCTTAACAGTTCTGTTGAGACCAGATGGAACTGTAAAAGTTCCCATGTGTCAGAGATGAACATATCCTGTGTCCTTCAGCTTGTTTTCCCACAGCAGTGTTTCGGGTCTGCAGTTGCTTGGCCCTCAAGGTAGCCTTCAGAATAAAATAGTAAATTAAGAGTTGAAGTTTGCCCCCCAAAAAGTTGCATTCACCTTCTGAGGAAACAGAAATGTCACTTTTGTAGTTGAGCTCCTGCCTTGTGAGTGAACCACACCCACACTCACTTGCAGTGCTTACCAGAGGTTAAGGGCGAGGCTCTCTCTGGTCACCTCAAAATGATTGGGGGGTGCTGACTCCAAATCTCAAATTCTTTGTGGAGAAACAAGTATCCTTTAAGCCACAATTTTATTGAAAGAATTTGGGCAGAGTCTAAAGTAATTTTGTGAGATGATGTGACTGGCAGTCTCAAATCTTTGCTTCAGAAAAAATGGTCACAAATGGTTAACAGGGCTCTGTGAGCTGCTGGTGGACAATTGCTAGGGTAGCTGAAAAGACCACCAGCCTGGCTGCTCCCTCTCTAAGCTGTTGGGCAGTGTGGCCATTTCCAGGATGGAGGGACTGCACCAGAGCTGCCTCCTCTGCACCCAAGCCGTTTGCTAGGACCCCTCCTCAGTTCAGGGTTCCCTCTGTGAATGGGAAGTCACCTGTTTCCCAGATAGTGGGCCCCACTGGAGAATCCTGGCCCATGGAGTGCTTCATAAAATTAGCACCTTGCAGTACCGCAGCTGCACACTGAACACACATGCTGTGACCCTATGTCCATGCCAGTGACAAAGGCAGCACACACATCACATTTTGTCTCTGGAAGAATTCGGAAGACCTTAGGGAAAAGAACCATATAGCTGGGGATTAGAGGGAAATTTATTGTTTCCTTTCAATTTTTAATTATCTTTATAATTTTTACGTTAGGTATCTATACTTATTTTTGAAAAGAAATTTTAATATAAAAATTTTTAAACCTCATTTAAAGTTATATGGTAAAATCAAGTAAAGCATATCCTGTGCTTGTAAATACACTGTGGGACATTTGACACACTGAAGTTTTAATTAAAGAGTCATAATCTTTATGATTCAGGTGAATCACCCCCACCCCACCCCACAGATTAAGGCTGGAGTGAAACTGTGACAGTGAGCCAGATGGCATCACAGACAACACGTCCTGCCTGAGGGGCTCCTGTGACCGGCCTATTCTTCTTCATAGGTTCTCGGTGAGATGACCGAGCTGCTCTCCTCCTGCAGAAACTATGACAACTACCGGCGAGCCTATGGGGAATGCACCCACTTCAAGATCCCCATCCTAGGGGTGCACCTAAAAGATCTCATTTCCCTCTACGAAGCCATGCCCGACTACCTGGAGGACGGGAAGGTGAATGTCCACAAGTTGCTGGCCCTTTACAATCATATTAATGAGCTGGTCCAGCTACAGGAGGTGGCCCCGCCACTGGAGGCCAACAAGGACTTGGTGCACCTGCTGACGGTAAGGGTCGCGCTGGAAGACTGCCACTCAGCATGTTGTGTGTGCCAGGTGCCAAGCTGTATACCCTATCACATGTCAACACCATTACTCCCCATAAAACTCTAGGAAGTAGGACTACTGTTACCGCCACTCTGTGGATGGGATACTGAAGCACAGACGTAACTTGCCAGAGAACCACAAATTACGTGGCCAAGCCTTGACTCAGACCCAGGCAGGGGAACTTCAGAGGATTTCTCTCCAGCATTGTGTCCCCTGGACTGTGAGGGTATTTCCCTACTTTAGCACAAGCAGTGGCAGTATATCTAGGAGGATCAGACGGCAAATCAGGATTTAAGGGTTGATAACAGATGGAGACAGTGTGCTCTTATAAGTGGGGGAGGGCAAGGCAGTGAATTAGCACAAAACAAAAGATTTACTCTTTGGGTCCTGCCACCACTGACTTAAAGAGATTTTCAAGCCAAGAGTAGGTGAGCACTTTTCAGTGGTATGGAAACCAGGATTTGCATTGTGGGTATGGGGTCAGCAAGCTTCCTTCCAGACCTGGGACTAGAGTTCACCAGTTGTGTGACTGTGGGCCCACACATTCCATGTCTGTTTTCTCCTCTGTCACCTCAGAGGGGTGCTCTCTGGCATAATTTACTACTTCTTTTAGTTCTAAAATTATACAGGTTTTAAACTTTTGGGGGGGACAGAATAATAACCATATCTTCTTCCTGCCTCAAAGGAGCATTTTGATAAGAGGCCATACTTTGTGTCTGGTTGGTGCCTAATCTTGCTGTTTTAGTCCTTTCACTTTAGGCAGGTAACCTTGGCAGATCTCTGCCCGAGAAAGTATCATCTCTGAATAGAGGCTTGGATATTAAATCATGGATATTAAGCCAGTGTTTTCGAAAGGGCACCTTGGGGCTCTCCCAAAACTTAAGTACATCTTAACAAAGAACTAAAGCTTTCCCTATTGCAGTAGCAGGTGTTACACAGGCGAGAATGAATCACAAAAACAAACTGCTAAATACCAAGATTAAACTACTGAAGAGGAACCAGGATAGAAATATCAGGCTCAGGAAAGGCAGACAGCCTTTCAATTAATCTTATTCTGCTTTGATCCACAGTTATCCCTGGATCTCTACTATACTGAAGATGAAATCTACGAGCTCTCCTATGCCCGGGAGCCAAGGAACCACAGAGCCCCGGTGAGTTTCTCATACTAAGACTCCTGTATGACACTTGCTGTCCTCAAGTTCGTTCATCTTAAAGAACAGACTTTAATAAGCATATTATTTCTACATGTGCCCAACCCTGTGCTTGGGACAGATAGCTTCTCAACAATGTATGGCATACAATTCCTGACTATTGAGTGCTTGTGATCTAGTTGAGGGACAACTGTGTGAACACTAAGTAACCATATGCCATAAGAGTGTCAGGGGTGGTAGAATCAAGGAGGGAGACAGTGTTATGAACCAGAGTGGCAGCCTTTGCCTGTTAGGAATTCTCCACGTGTAAGTGGTTTTTGTGATTTTTTTTTTTATACTAACGAGGACAAATGTACATACTAATAAAAAAACTAAACTTCTGAATATTTCCATTTTGGTTGGTAGAAAAGCCCCATTATCATGTGATGCTCTAGGTTGAAAACAGCAGTCTGCTGGTTCTTCTGCACAGTTCTCAAAATAGCACGTGGTCCTGGTGCTATTCTCAGTAGGAGCTTCACAGGTTATCTGTCCCTGCTTTTCCTATGGGCCAGTGAAATTTTAAGTTTTCTGGCGAGTTTCCTAACCCCAAACAAGTGGTACTTCACAGAAGGGGTGCTTGCCCATAGGAAATCCAGTTGCTTCATTCAGGTGGCTGTCATTGCCTCTATACCAAAAGTGCAAGTTTCAGCTTCCTGTTGTAATAAAAGAGGTTCAATGGAAATAATGGAATGTTAAATTACCAGTGTGCTAGAAGCATTTCCACGAAAAGGTTAACTCCTCCTCTCTTTAGAAGAGATTTTAATTTGGCCCAAATTTCAAATGAATTGTCTCATCTTGCGCAACATCCAATCTTTTTCTTATGTATCTTTGCCTTTTAACCTTTTTTTTTGTGTGTGTACCTCAGCTGCCTCTACTGAAAAGTGACCAGAGGCCAGGCATGATGGCGCACACCTGTAATTCCAGTACATGGGAGGCTGACGCAGGGTTGCCTTAAATTTGAGGCCAGCCTGAACAGCAAGACACTGTTTCAAAACTAAAAAGTGCCCAGAGAACACAGGAGACATTTCATTTAAATGGCCCATTTTACTCTCTGTAGATAGCTCTGACAAGAGGTTTAATGGAGAGAGAATCAAAGCCCAGGCACACTGAGAATTTTAAATTATTTGGAGCCAGAGCTCATGTGTGTGAAGACCTTGGGAACAGAAGCACAACAGCTATATATTACCCAGTATTATAGGGTAGATTTCCATTGTGTGTGTGCTGCCTGTTCCCTGCCACTGCAGTCAGACTTCCCTGCAGATGTGACCGCTGGGTTGTGTGAAGGGACGGAGCTGTAAGTTACTATACTGCATTGCATTCACGAGGTATCTCTTCACATTTCACTTTAGCCATTAACACCTTCCAAGCCACCAGTAGTAGTGGACTGGGCCTCCGGAGTCTCACCCAAACCCGACCCAAAGACCATCAGCAAACATGTACAGAGGATGGTGGACGTGAGTACAGCTGTTTCAGAAAACCAGGCCAGCTCTGCTAATGCGGGGTGGGAAGCACAGCAGCCGAGTCACATGAGAGAGTTGAGACTCGCTCCCAGAGGAACCATTTCTCATGCTGTGGCTGCAAACAGTTCAGAGTCTACAGTTTGGCAAAACTCTTTTTTGGTCTCATACGTGACAGGTTTGACTACTTATAAAGGCCTAGCAGATCATTTGTTTAAAAATTGTTGAGTGGAGGCAGAAAGGTATTGGGAGCACTGCTGGATTCAATTCCCTGTGCTACCTGCTGAGAAGAGGATACAGTTCGCGTAGTTGGAGCCTTGATTGTTGGGGGCTATTAGGTGACAACAGAAGGCTGAGCAGAAACTGAAACAGAGGACACAGGCCAGCCAGTCACGAGTTTCCCAGAGGAGGTGCAATCTGAGCTGAGAGACCAAAGGGCAGACCTCTCTGCAGTGGTCTGCAGTAGGCACAGCCCAGGTGGCACATCATGTGCTAATGGTTTTAGGCACAAGCACCTGGGGCATAACCTGTCACATCTGTGCAAGGAGTACGTTCCTGTGTTCTCCTCATTCAGGCTTTAAAGGCTTGTATCTATCTGTCCCAGCCCCTTTGTCTTAGCTAAAGGGAGAAAGCACTGGTTTCTCCTTGGTAATCACCACAAAAACTCCTTTTTCACAGTCTGTCTTTAAGAACTACGATCACGACCAGGATGGATACATTTCTCAGGAAGAATTTGAAAAGATTGCTGCAAGTTTCCCATTTTCCTTCTGTGTGATGGACAAAGACAGGTGAGGATTTGTGTACAGGAATGAGTGGCTGAGCCTAGTGGTGAGAACAGAGCTACAGATAATATCACTAGAAGAATTTATAAGTACAGATGTTTACAGTCATCAGGTGAAGGCCTCCCTGCCTTTAGTTTAAACAAGAGACCATGACATTTACATGCTTTTTAAAAGAGCTCACAACTGAAGATTCCAAAAATTTGCCAACTTAGGAAGCGCCCAACTTCAAATAAGTTTAGTCTGCTTTCTTGCTTTGTCCTTAGGTTTTGGAAAATAATACTAATGCTTTGCATACTTAATGTTCTTAAAAGTGTACAGATTCTATTTTAATTCTCTATCAGAAACCAAACATATGGCTGGTGGGACCTAGTCGTATCCTCTCTGAAGTTAGAAACTAGAGTACGCATTTCCCTCCCTATACACAAATTTTACATTTCAAGTCTTGTAGACAAGGGTCAAATTAGGCCAAAGAATACCTCTGGGACCGAGTGGTACTGCCACCCCTCCTTTCAGGCACTGTGCTGTGACCCTCCTGTGAGGTGTGCTCAGAGCGTGGACTGCAGCACACTAGGCCGCCTTCCTCACACTCGTCCTTCTGTCGTTTGTTGGCAGGGAAGGCCTCATCAGTAGGGACGAGATCACAGCCTACTTCATGAGGGCCAGCTCCATCTACTCTAAACTGGGCCTGGGATTTCCTCACAACTTCCAAGAGACCACCTACCTGAAGCCCACTTTCTGTGATAACTGTGCTGGATTTGTAAGTTGTCCTTGGAGTGCACTGGGGGGAATTAGGAGTATGGCCCAGTGATAGTACAAAAAGGCACAGACTTCACAGTCTTTATGCATTCACCCCAATTTAGGGCCCAAGAAAACACCTAGAAGGACCTAGTCTTTAAGTGTGTACACTCATTTTGCCTCATTTATTCCTGATATTTTCCCCCTCGGTACATTAGGCCTGGTGTAAATAGTACAGAAATGTTGAATTCTGGATTATATTCCTATACTGTTCCAATGGTAGAAAATGTTAAAAAAAAGAATTGAGATACCCTCCTTTCCCCTTTCAGAAGACACTATCTTGAAGGGATCACCTCAGCTTTGTTCCTCCTGTCTCACCACAGCCAACAGTCTTCCTGAACCCATGTTTCTGACCAGAGACTCTCTAGGCTTACCTGTCAGTAAGGCATCTGGGGATCCTGTCAGTTGTATAATTCGTCCATTTCGGGTCTATAGAAGGCCTGGTCATAAAGCCACTACAGTGAGCTTCTGGAGAATATTTGACTCTGGTAGCTATAAATGTTGGGTTTTAGTTAAAAGTCAGGACAAGACATACAAGAGGAAGTTGAGCTAGAGAATGGAATGAGTGGAGTCTCACACCAGATAATGATGTGCATTCTCTTTCATTTATCTCATAGCTCTGGGGTGTGATCAAACAAGGATATCGATGTAAAGGTAAGTTAAGCACTGTCCATTGCATGGCTGTCCCTGGTCTGAGGGGCTTTCTTCATAAGTTTTTTACCCACTGTAGTTGTCCATTCGGTCCACAGTTTCTTGGCAGACTTAAGAGCCTTATCTCCATACGGGCTTTCCAAGAGCACCCAAGAGTGACCGATACTATTTAGAGGGGTGCCTGCGTGGCCAGTTCAGCAGTTTCCCTTTACAAGAGCTTCTCTCTACCTTGGTTGCCTTGGAAATAGAGACAGCTAGTAGGAGACTGAGCTCTTACATAATCAGTCACTTCTAAAACAGAAGATAAATGATTACTAAAGGTCTTTGTCAGCTTTTCTTTTATCAGTGATTCCTGAGGACATAAGTGTCCTTCCTCATGACTAGGACCAGAGGGAAACGAAATTTCCACTGCAAGGAAGAAAAACAAAGGCCTAGCAGCTGGGTACTTCCAGAGGGTCTCTCTAGAGCAGGGCAGTGTATAGGAGGGCCAGGATACCATCTCTTCCCTCTGGAATAGCAGATGTTCCTTCAGATTCCAAGACTCAATGCTAAGGGTTAAGACCAGCCTATGAGATACAGGTTTGCCAAGTGAGGAGAGGGCTAGGTTTACTGGGAATGTTAGGTGAGCTTAGCTCTACAAGATTGCACAGACATGTCTGACAAGAACATTGTGTGAACTGGTGGTGAGACTTCCTGACCAAAGAGTCTTGTCCATAGATTGTGGGATGAACTGTCACAAACAATGCAAAGATTTGGTGGTGTTTGAGTGCAAGAAGCGAACCAAGAACCCAGCAGCTCCCATGGAGAATACCACCTCAGTAGCACCAACATCCAACCTTTGCTCACTGGGAGCCAGAGATCTGCTCCATGGTAAGTAGGCACTGGGAATGTTCAACCTGGAAAGTCAGAGAGAGAGAGGCAAAATTGGGGACAGGAAAGATAACCACATGTGTCTATGTCTGAGTTAACCTTTACTTCCATTGCTGCCTCTGCCTCAGACCTAAAGGTGCTGGAATAACAGAGTGCAAGTTAGGCCTAAAAATCAGCAGATGTTCATTGAGCATGTACACCATGTACAGATACTGACTACTGCCAAGATCATGCCTAAATTTAAAAATTGTCCTACTCCATCCCAACTCAAAACCAATAGGGAGAGTATGCATGCATGTGCATATAACATATACATACATGGTACAGACAGCATATTAAAAGGCATAGCTGCATTCAGAACCAAAGAGTAACATCTCCACAGATCAGAAGTGTTCCAGAAACTCTAAGGAGTGGCAGCTGAATCCACAGGGCTTCATGACTCAATTTCCAGAAGTATGCAGCCAAGAATCTGATTTCTGAACAGTAACAGAGACCAACTATGCATGAAAGGTGACCAGAACCACTCAGTATTTATCACTGATGAAGGATCCTAAAAAAGTCATTACTATCACAATTAGCAGTAAGAAGTATACTTGTCACTGGATGAGGGATTACCTGTGTGATGCCACTAATTTTCTTCCAGGAGAGGGGTCCCAAGCTGTTATTTTACAACCACGTTCTAAGACAGGATCCTGAGAGGCCAAGTGAAGATAACTGTCAAAATTCTAGAAACACAGTGGTAAATACAGAAAGGAAGAGGAGGAGAACTCCTAAGCAATACAAGCTTGCAGATTAACAGTCAAGAGAAAAATTGAGCTGGCCACAGTGGTGCAGGGCTATTATCTCAGTGTTCAGGTGGCTGCGGGAGAAGGTTCATGAGTTCAAGGCCAGCATGAGTTACAAAGTGAGTTTAAGGCCAGAGATAGAATACATGGACAGACAGATGGGTGTAAATACACAAATAACAGTATAATAAAGAAATGAAATTTATTATTTTAGACACGCAGGAAGAAAAAAGGTCTGCTTCTGTCTACTTAGGGAGCAGGTTAGAAATAATGCAGGAGGGTATGTGCTACAAGCCAAATAGGCTACAGAAAGACCACGCCCTGGTCCTGCTGGTAAAGACTTCATGGAAAAGGTGGAAGTTCAGTAAAGTCACAAAGGAAGGGAAGCATTAAGTCAGGAGTGCTCCCTGGGACTTCAGCGTAAATGTAGAGAAAAGCTCTGGCTGTCATCCTACCCCAGGGTGCACAAGCAACGGGGACTGTGAGGGGAACTTAGCCACATTCCCACCAACTCCCTGCAGTAACTACAGATGAAGGGGGCACGGAGATCCCCAGTGGTCAGCATGGCCCTGCTCCTGCCCCTGGGTGTGCATGGCCAAGGGAAGCCCCAAGGAATGTTGCCCAACCCTAGACATAGCCATTCCTCCTCCTCCTATGGGCACTGCAGCTCTGGGGAGGGAGTCTGGCTGTTGCCAACCCCAAGGCATACATAGAGCTTGGGGGCCTGAGGGCAGCAACACAGAGAGGAACACACCTCCTGCTGCACCCACACCATGTGATTCCCACTGCCAGTGCCCTTGCTCCTGGTCTTACTAGGCACTGCTAATAGAGAGATACTGTGATTTCTGCCCTCCACCCCCGACACCCCAAACTCTCACTACTGTCTGGTCAGAGGAGAAGTGCTCCAGGCTTCTTACCACTCCTAGTGCAGTGCCAGACACCCTTACACCTCACAGGCCAACATCAGCAGCGCCTGAGGAAACTTCATCACCTGCTAGGGGCCACCATAGCCACTGGAAAAGTAACACTGAGTATACCTCACAAACACTGCTGTCTACACATCAGCCTGAACTATGGAAGTGTCCTCACCCTTGCATGACCTACAACACAGAACACACTGTGCCTAAACTCACTATCACAGCAGAGATGCTGTGAGGAAATTACACTGCAGTGCTCAGCTAAAAATAAAGCCAACACTATGGACAAACCGATAACCCTAGACACTACACTGTCATGAGATGAACAAATCTCAGTGTGGGGGCACAAGAAATATGAAAAAGTAATGTGATACCTTCAAAAGATCATAACCCTCTAGTAACAAATACTAAAGATATGGATGAAATACCTGTTATCTTCAAAAGAATAATTTTCTCATGTCACTGAGATCCCAGAGAATACAAAGAAACAGTTAAATAAATTAGGAACACAATGCAGGATATAAATGAGAAATTCAACAAAGAGGCAGATATTTTTAAAAAGAATCAAGCAGAAGTATTGGAAATGAAAAGTCCATCAGTTCATTTTAAAAACTCAACTGAGAACCTCAACAATGGACTACATGAAGCAGAAGGAAGAATAGTGGAATTTGAAGATAGGTCTTTTGAAATGACACATTTAGACACACATACACACACACACAAAATGATAGCATTCAGTATCTTTGGAACACCATTAAATGATTAATTACCTACATCACTGGAATACTTGAAGGTGAGGAAATAAAGGTTAAGAAAGGCAGAGAAAACCTACTCAATGAAATAACACCAGAAAACTTCTCTATCTTGAGAAAGACATGAACATCCACGTAGAGGATACTATTAGAACATGATGAAAATAACTTCCTTTATGACACAGTACATACAGTCAAACTGAAAAGTACAGAACAACAAAACAAAGTTTTTTAATTTGTAAGAGAGAGGCAACAATTCACATTTAAGGGCAACAGAAGATTTCTCAACAGAAACCCTGTGGGCCAGGAGGGAATCAAATGACATATTCAAGTCTTGAAAAAAAAAAATGTCTAAATGCCAACTAAGATTTACTATTACCCACAAAGGCTATCATTCACAGATGAGGGAGAAATAAAGAACTTCCAAGATAAGCAAAAACTCTGGGAATTCAGGACCAACAGACCATCCTTACAGAAGATGCTTTAGGAAGTCCTATATCCAGAAGTGGAAGAAAGGTAACTACCATGACAACATGTTAAAATATGAGTGCCACTAGAAGAGCAGATACACAGAAGTGAAACGGAAAAGAAACAAACATTATCATTACTGCAAACTATCATATCACAAAGATGATTAAGAGATGAAGAAAAGAACAAAGAATGTAAAAACTGACAGGCAGTAAGTCTGTATTTCTCAGTTATATCCTTGAATGTAATGTAATTCAGATTGGATGAAAGGATTAAAAAAAAAAAAAGCAATAGGCTGCCTACCCAAAGCTCACTTCACAGACACATAGACTGAAAGGATGGGAAATGATATTCCAAGCTAAAGGAATCCTAAAGTGAGCAAGAGAATCTTTTTTTTAAATTTTTTTTTTTTTTTTTTTTTTTTTTTTTTTTTTTGGCATCAGGGATAGAACTCAGGACCTTGCTCTGAGAGGCAGGCGGCGGCACCACTGAGCTAAATCCCTGGCTCAAGAGCAGCTATTCTTACAGCTGACAAAACAGTCTTCAAGACAAAAACTGTGAAACAAAGAAGCTCATTATATAACAATTAAGGGATCAATTCAACAGTAAGATAGGATTGTAAATCTCCTTGCACTAAAATCAGAACTCCAATTTTATAAAACAGTTACACCAAAGGCAAGAGATAACTTCCAACACAGTAAAAGAGACAACTTCACTGCCCTACTCTCATTCATAGACAGATCATCCAGACCCCCCCAAAAAAGAATAACAAAAATCAAGATTAAACTATCAAATCAACTTAGTAAACAAACATCTACAGAATATTCTAGCCACAAACTGCAAATAATACACATTGTTTTCATCAGCATTTGGAATTTTTTATAGGACAAACCATATTTTAGACCACAAAATAAATTAAATGAGCATTTCCTGATCACAATGGGATGAAACGATAATGCACAAGAGAAACTTAAGAATACATGGAGTCTGGCCGGGTAGGGTGGCATATGCCTGTAATCCCAGGATTGGGGAGGCTGATCACTGCAAGTGATCACTGGCCAGAGGATCACTGAAAGTTTGAGGCCAGCATAGGGTACCAAGGGAGACCCCACCAAAAAAAAAAAAAAAAAGTATGGAGTCTGAACACCCTCCAAACAGTGGATCACCAAAGAAGTCAGAAGGGAAATTTAAAATTTCTTGAGCAAAAGAAAATGGAAACAGCAAAACTAGTGGGATGCAGCAAAAGCGGCACTAAGAAGAAAGTTTATAGCATTGAGTATTTAAAAAAATAATAAAGACTTGAAATAATATGTCACTCAACAAAGAAAAGCCCAGCACCAGTGATTCCACTGGTGAATTTTAACAAATTTTTAAAGAAAGCTAAGTAATACTAATGCTTTTCAAAGTATTCATTGAATTGACAGGGAGAGAACTTTTCCAAACTCATTTGATCAGGTCACCTTTTAACTTGTTACCAAAATCTGACAAGGACACAACAGAAAAAGAAAACTATAGACCAGTATCCCTGATGAACACAGATACAAACTCAACAAAATGTTAGCAAATTGTACTCCACAGCACATCAAAAAGATTATACATCATGATCACAAATTAGTTTCATTCCTGGTATGCAAGGATGATTAAACATACAAGTGTAACTTGTAATACATTATATAAACAGATGATGAATAAAAATCATATGATCATCTCAGTAGATACAGAAAAATCAATTTCAGTATCCCTTCATGAAAAAAAAGGACTGAAAAAATTAGATATAGAAGGACCATACCTCAACATAATAAAAGCTATATATGACAAACTCACAGCGAGCTTTATACTGAATAAGGAAAAACTGACAACACTGTCCTTAAGATCAGGAAGACAAAGGTATCCACACTCGCTGCTCTTGTATAATACACTGCTACAAGTTTTAGCCAGGGCAGTGAGGCAGGAGTTAGAAATAAAAGGCATACAAACAGAAGAAGAAAAAATAAAATTATCTCTGCTTACAGATAAGATTCCATACATAGAAACACCTAAAGACTCAACCAGCACTATTAGAACTGATAAAATACTACAGTAAAATGCAGAATACAGAATCTTTTCTATACAGCAATAATAAAGTTGTGAGCCACGATTTAGCTCAGTGATGCCGCCACCTGACTTGTAAGTGCAAGGTCCCAAGTTCGATCCCCATACCAAAATAAATAAATTTTAAAAATAAAAAAAAGTTGCTAGAAGGGCCGGGGATTTAGCTCAGTGGTTCGGTGGCCTGCCTTGCAAGCGCAAGGGCCCAAGTTCAATCCCCGGTACCAAAAAAAAAAAAAAAAAAAAAAAA